ACGCAGGGCTAATGCAAGACATGCTGATAGTACCATTGTTAAATTTAGAAGAGACTATTTATACAAGAGACGTTCAAATAAAGAACTGTTAAAATTTTGCGATCGGCATACTAGTATAAAAATCCTTTATTGGAACAGAAAATGTTTTGTATTCACCACAAAAACAAGGTTGCTATGCGTCCGTGAAAATCAAGCCTTACCCCCCCCCCCCCCTTGCGTTTCCAAACGAAAAAACACTGAGGCCTAAAATGACTTTCATCAAATCTTCAATGATTTTTCGATAATAACATTAATTCAGTTCAGCAGTTAGATAGGTTATTTATTAGAGATGCGCGGAGAACGAAAACTTGGGATGTACTGTAAATCACTCCAGCAACAAAAAATTGACAATAACCGAGAGTGTGAGAAACTCAAAAACATATTTTATATATTATCTTGACGGTATTAATAAAGAATTCTTTTCTATTTCACCAACCCTCTCACCAAACACACATCAATGGTAGTTTGTAATGCTGTGTTGTGGTTATTGCATAACAGTGTCAATCTAACCCCAACGTTTTAAGCCACCCCCCCCCGTCCCAGACGACAGTCAGCTGATCAACCATCACACGTGTTTGACGTATTGCTGTTGTTGTTGTTGACATTGTCAACCAGTGGAAAACACGATAAAGCTATAACAGATACTTTATGTAGTTGTTCTTACTTACAAAGAAAATATCCGCGCTTTCTTGTGACACGGGCATAATGGGATCGGTTGCAAGTTATATTCGACAAACCAAATCACGTTTTTCTAGGACTCTCCCGGAAGAACTTGTACGATATTGTAACGTTTAACCACAATGCATTGCACAACCGGAAACAACGTCTTATTTCAATTAGATTCGTACCTTGCCACATTTGCACACAATGTGACACAAATGAATGAAAGCAATGCAGGATGAGCAAGGTACGAGTGTACTAATTGAGCGCCAGCTTTCAGATTCACCAATCAACGCCTTCGATACAAAGTGACCTACTTTCACGGTCATCCAATGATACACGGTGTTTCAAATACGAGAATCTAATCAAGACAAAGACCAATCAGCTTACGACTCGACTGATCTGTTTTTCCAAATTTGGCATATCGGAAATTGGAACAATAATAGCCGACCTGTACCCGGATAGTTGAACCTCATTGCACGAAATTTGTGTGTATTGGACTATTATCGTTTTCTTTCTCGGATGTTCTTCTGGTTTAAGTGCTCGCTTATCATGTTGTAGCTCTGCAGACGTATCATATTATACACGTTCTCAGTCTTGATCGGTTCATTCAACGAAGTCGTTAGAGTGAGAGAAGTTGAAATGGCAAGCAACAAGGTTTGTGGATTATCCATCAAAAACTAATAATTGTTAATAGAATCAGTGTCTTTCTCAAGTGTTCCATCCGCCGGTCGTTTGTTAGGCTCAGCTGTCATTCAAGTGAAAGCTAATACCGTTGTCAAAACGTTTGTAAACGCCTTCCTCGTCGGCACTTTTAATCGTTAGACGTTATATTAAATATTATCGAATCGCGGATTTACATTTGGGGTGACACACGTACAACAATATCATGACATTGGTTCAGTGCTTGGTGATGTAGTAGTTTGTTCCTTTTTCCCAGTCATGACAGCATCTCTTCATATTGTCGTATTCACGCGAGGTTGCCGGTGGGAAGTACATTTAATCTACCAGGTGCAACCAGGACAATATTGCCTTTGCTACAACCAGGTGGACATTAGTAACTTCATGGATTACATTTTGTATGTACTATCGACTTCGATTGTATTAAATGTATTGATTTCTGTTAATTTTAATAGAAAGATATAATAGCAGATATTGTGTTGTTCCGAAACCTTTCGTAACGACATTTGTCTTTTTTATTTATTTATATACATTTTGTAATCAGATTTGCTCTTAGGATAAAATGGTTCTTTATTATTTCACTAGCATGTGAACAAAATCCCCTTATGCAATCAATGGTTTAATTATCTATTTGATTAGAGTCTGGTTTCCGTGGTAACCAAATTGCTCTCTCATTCTCATCATGGAAGTAAACTGATGATCTTGTGAATGATGAAAGAGGGAGCGTGCCATCAGAGTTAATTTGCTAACACAGCATAAGACCATTATGTGTTGCCTTTTGCTGGACTAAGCATAGCATGCATAATACAGTGTACATGTAATCTTCTCTATGTAAATTAATAAATAATACTAATGACCAGATTTAAAACTAATCTAATACAAACCCAATTCAACAATAATTATTAAGTCTAATTTCAGGCTTTTTATTTATACCTGTGTGTTTTTCGCTAACTATATCAGCCAAATTTCTAATAGAAATTGCATTTATTATAGGCTTGATTATTATGCTCACGATTGAGACATCAGTACTACAAATTACTTAGCAAAACTGCTTATTGATTAGCAAAGATTTCCATTCTCACTCAAGCTGCAAAGCAGTTGGCAAGCATGCATGACGCATACCATTTACATATGTTGGGGGGGGGGGGGGGAGCTGCTGTACAACATGGCCATAGTATCAGCACAGTACATATGAATAAATTTGAAATAATATACATGTACATGTATTAGGTTTGTGTTTCATACACAGATTACGTTTTGTGACCTTTTGAAAAAATGCATTTTCTCTCGAGAACGTGTTGCCATAGTTGTTCGGGAAAGAATATGAAATGCCAACATGCAACTCCAGCTCTGTATTTTGGTGTTTAGTGCTATTGATTCCCTATTTTTAGCAGGCAGATCTCAACTCGTAAATAGTCAACTTTCTTGAGTCTACAATGTGGCATATTACTACCGATAGTAACGGTACATGTATTAAATGTTATCATTGCACTAAATTGTTGTAATACTCCTGAACCTTACTGTAAAATACTTTATTTTAGCTGGAATTAATTTTCACTGAACAGATTTTTTGGGTGTTTTGTAAGGAATTTATTTTCACTGATTTTTAATCAGTTGAATGTAAAACATAGGAAAAAAGCTATATTCGCTGGATTTTATTTTCACCGAGTCATCCCTTTAGCGAAAATAGTGAAAATACAGTATTTTACAGTAATTTGTTTGAATGTGTTTAACAATTTAAAAATTCACCAAAACCATTATGGATATAATTTAGGGTGAAATTTCTGATGTAAATACCCATACTTTAGATTTTATTTTGGTTGCAGTACCAAGGTGTCTCCATCTCACAGGCACTTGGTGTAAAATGTGACTTACTTTGACCATGTTTTGATCACTTATATGAATGGTAGAGCGATTAACAGTATATGTTACCATGGTAATGTACATTTAGATATCAGTGTTGCAATTTTCGTTCCAAATTACAATCAGTTTTTCTAAAATTAACCTTTCATTTGAGCAGAAAGCGACAAATTTCCTTTGTGGATGGAAACCATTGATTGTTGATCTTGACGAGGAATCTCTTGAAAAATATTTGTAAGCTACAATGTAACTACGTCATTTTACATTTTGAACATCTTGTACGCATGTCAATCTCAATTTGACAATTTCTCACCAGTAAATCATTAAATTTTTGCTGTTCCATTTCCACAATTTAAGGGAAATTTGTCTTGCAAATAGATTCATCTTCTTAAATGGTGGCACTGCACTGGGATTGCACTAATGTATGATGGGAAATATTATTTTGATGGCTCACCTATCCTTTGCTATGTACATATACAGATACAGATACAAGATTCACCTTCAAAAGATGTGTTGTCACTAGCAATTTGAATTAACATTTTGATTTGAATAAACCTATGATTGACAGTCATCATGAAGGCCAGCATAACTGATGCCATGCATCATGATCAAATGCGATTTGTTTACTAAAATCTGCTTGTCATCTTTCCTTCTCTACAACTGGACGCTGTGGTTTGACGAACCCAGTGCTGTAATTTAGCTATGAACTATATCCCTGACTCAAAATAATTCGCCCCGAATTGTCTCAGTACTTTAGAATAATCACATTGCTGAGTAGAAGATAAAAAAATTTCCCATATCAGCCACTCCCACTCAGAAATTGAATCATTCATTTTTTTTTTAATTTTGAAACCATTTTCCAAGAAATGTTTCAGTTAGTTATTTAGTGCTCTTCCCAGAAATTTAAACCACTGCAGTAAAAGCATACTCAATAATTTGCATAATATTTGCATATTACATGTATATGCATAAGTATTCCAAACAGAAATTGAGATGAAATTGGGAACATACTCATTAAAACACTTACAGTTATGTGCATCAAGAGTGATATAAATGAACAGTTTTCAGTTTTCAGCGGTTGATTACTTTGATTTAAAAAGTCTGCAGTGACACAGTGGAAATAAACCACTGTGGTTGTCAGACCAGTGTAACAGTAAAACATAGCTGCATCCTGGGGAGAACATTGATATTACATTGTAATTGTTTATATTTCCACTGGACCCAATAGCACTGTCGTGCTATCATGAAGCAAACTGCTATTGTGGAGCAAACGTATAGATCCTTACATTTGTACCTCCTACTGTTAATCTTCCTTCCCCTTTTTTTTGTGTGTGAACCAAGCATAGTTCCCCACGATGCCATATAATGATATAGTTGCTACATTGCCCTTTTCCCAACTTTTTCATTGACTGTTGCTGTTCCATAGGTGGAGTAATTTCGCACGGAAAATAATAACTATGGATTTCAACATCTGGAATTCTGTATTTTGGTACCTGTTGTTTCTATTCGTTGCTAATGTGATATTTAATCCATCGTTTAATTGAGTTGTACACTCATTTCTAACACTGCACTGCATTGAGGAGATGCTTAAGAGTTGTACTTCTTTCAAGATTTCCCGCTCTCCTTCAGACAGTTATGGGTAGGTTGGAATATCATAAATCTAGAGGGTATTCATGTAGCCCCCCTAAGTTACCATTAATTTGGAAGCCATGGTGACTGTATTTTGTAGTTGGACATGAACATTGTAAAAGAGGTTAGCTTGTGGTATTGTTGGCTTGTGTAGGCAGCATTTGAGTTGCCCTGACTGAGCAACCAACTGTCTGTGGCTTGAATGCAATCTAGTACACATGTACTTTGTGATACTTGCAATGTAATCCAAAGAGCTGATTGTCTGTGCACAATTGTCATCATGTTTGACATTTTTGAGTCTGTGTACATGTACATCATATTTTCAGTGTCGACTCATGAAAAGTTAATTTATTAAATATAGATTGCAAAATATTTAAAAAGAAAAATAACTTGGACTATTTACCAAGTTTATTGCATTAATTTTGATTGGACATGTAACAAAATGTGGCAAATTACATACCAGTGAATATACTAAGTAATACCATTTGTATTTTCACTGGCAATTAATTTTACTATTTTGATCTTCTGAGCAATTTTCTATGTTCACTGACTTGGCAGGGAAAACAATATTCTATTATTTTACTTCTGTCACCGTAACGCCTTAAGTTACAGCGTGCCGTAATTTTGCGGTATTTTATGGGGCATTTTCATCCTACCATATAAGGGAATGCGAATTCCAAATATGGAACTATTACGTGCGTAAGCATTCTCTAATAATAAAAACAAACATGGCTGCCACCAGGGTTTAACCGGACTCCACACAAAGAAGTTTGCTGATTCTGTTCTAAACTTTTTGGATTTCGGCATTCCCATGATGTATCCTTATAATAGTATGGTTATTCTGAGGATACCTCAAAGTATGCACTCAGACAGTATGCCGTCGCAGAGACATCTGCTGTATGTTGGTCGACACACCAGCTGTACTTTCTACGTACATACCTCGTATTATTATTCTACATGTTCCCAGGAATTTAAATTTACAGGATTTTGGTTATCTGCAAAAATAGTGAACTTTAAAACTATTGAATATTTAATGCATTTATTAAATTTTGCTACATACAAGTAGAGCATACACTTGTGTACATTACAGGTGTGTTTCTATGATCAAAATAAGTAATATTTTAATAATTCAGTTTACAACAAATTTTTGGTATATATTCACTTCATTGATATACAAATGTAATAAAGCAAATACATATGTGAACTTACAATATACGGTAAGATTCAAATCTGTTAAAAATAAAGCATGTGATAATCTGCTTTTTCTAATGTACATTAAAATTCACAAACATGTTGTTTCAAATGTTGTGAAATCGTTTTCCCTTAAAGACAGAAATTTATGGAAAATAATATGCTTAATATTTATCATAGAAGCACAAATTATCTATAATAAATTCCTTGAATAATTTTCTTAACCCACTTACCCTTATCAAATGTTTCCTGTAGTTAAGACAACTCTATTCAGTATATCAAACATCATAAAAGCT